AGCAACGAAATTTCGATTTTGAGTGCGGCTGTGCATAATGCTGGTGAAATTCCCGCAGATGAGGATAGCCTAACTGCACCACTTTCAGAAAGTACATGAAGTTTGCCAATGATGTGCAGATTCTGTACCGAAAAAGAGAGTTTGATGAAAAAAAGTCGTTCCAAAAGTACGCTTAGAAAAACGAACATTATTTTTGCACCAACCTAATAAAAATCGTCTTAGTTGTAAAAATGCTGCCTAACTGTAATTGTTCTTATAGATATCCTACAAACAATAACTTTCTGTGAATGAAGACAATCTATGTATTCAAAGTAGGTGCTACAGTAAAGCAACAAATAACAGGGCCCACTCTCAATAAATACTTTTCACCGGTAAACCAAGTAGAAAGTTCACTCTCGGCGTCGAAGCTTATGGGCTCCTTTTGGATATAAGGTAACCCTGACATTTGAATTTTCTACCAAGTTTTTTAAATGGAGCATTGCAACGTCAAAAAAGACAGGTATAAAGAAGTACATTGTAAAATTTTCGAGTCTTTGCTTCTTCTTCAACAAGTTTTTCGCAATGCTTACAAGAGAATGATCAACATTCGAAGTCGCCAATCACAGCAAGCCGTATACCGTTGAATATCCCATGAAGGGCAGGTCACATACTCGCCTTCGATATCTGCTCTCCTAAACGAAGTTATTCCTCGATTCTGCCGTGGTGCCGACGGGCGTATAAATCTCGTCGCTCAGTCAATATCCACGTCGGAAGTATAGCCCAATGGTAAGTATGCAGACTCATAGTATGAGTGCAGGTTTTGCTTTGTGAGTTCGATTCCTTTTGCTTGCTACTCTTTTGCAACCCATCCCCAATATCTACACTACTGGCCATAGTTATGAAGCCATCCTAAAGTCACTGTAATTTCCCTCTTTTGCTCAAAACTGTCTGAACAATCACTATTCTGTGTGCAATAACGGCATATCCAGGGTCAAGCATGGAGTATGGCACGCTACATCTGGGGGTCTTAGAGGAGTCAGGAAATGGGGGGGGGGGTATCGAGGTGATAGTGATGCTAGCGAGATGATGTCAGTCAGCAATGTCCACTCGGTCCATTGTGCAAAATACTCAATACTAGCACTGGTGTTTTGGCTTTGACGTCGTACACGTACTGTAACCGTGATAAGAGAATCGTAAAAGCATAACAGCATCATTTCCGTAATTAGCATGAAAAATAACCCTTGGGGGACAAGTTTTAGCGAATTTTGATGTTTCCAAATATTGGGATACTCAAGTGAGGTGGTTATTTTCGAATATGTTTGGCCTTGATTCAAAGGGTGGGTAAACTAGATACTTTTCAACTAACCTCCGAACTCTAGAATCAAAAGCAAGCCAATATTTCGTATGTCTCATTCTTCGCCTTCAATTTTCAGTGTAAAGAAACCCGATCATGCTCGAATCACTCTTGTAAAAGTTGAGAGAATCGGGCTATTAAATATACCTTCTTGCCGCCTTTCTTCGCGATTCATGTAGTAGCGCAGACTTAGCATATTACCGTAATTTGATATTTTCGCAACGTTTTCCATTTGCATAGCAAAAGAAATACGATTATATCTTCGCTTAGAAGAAGCAATTTTGCATGAAATTCCTGCTATGTAGAGAAGAAGGTTTAGCAGTAGCAACCATGTAAAAAAGCCAGAGACTTGAATGCTTTGAAGGTAAGTGAATGTGGTGTAGCACAACGGTGTGGCGGCCACAGCTTTTTAGGGGATATGCCACACCACATCCACTCAACTCCGAAAAGAATTTCAGTCAACAAAATATATATAGTTTAATAGCCTGCTTGTAGTTTTCATAAATTGGGCATGATTCATCTTCTTTGCTCTGAGTAAAAGCAGGTGAAAGTGCAGCCATTGGAAGCGAAAAATGGGACAACAAAATTTTGGATTGCTTCTAATTCATGGTTTGATGGTTATTTGGAGCAGGACTCATGGTGTGGGTAAACAGAGAATGGTGCTTTGTACAAAAAGCGTTACGTAATTCACTTCTGAAACTATAGTTAATCGTGTGCAAAAATGACCACTTCACTTGGGTAGTCCAATATTGGGAACCCTCAGAATTTGTGGCGCATGGGGTTATTCCACATGATAACTACGAATATTTGCCTTGCATGGTAGAGCCTTCATGTCATGCCTACGGAAGGCAAACGATAATGCTGGCGGGAGAGGGGGGGGGGTATTGAGACAGAAGATAGAGGGGGGTCGTATTTAGCGCTTCTGCGCCACACTTCTTGCTCAAACCTGGTCATATCATTGACCAGAACGGCTCCCAATTTCATTGATTTTGGCAGTAAAAAAATTGAGAAATTCGAAAAAAAAAACGAGTTCCGAGGGCTGGTCACAGCTATAAAGCCATCTTCCATTTTCGACCAGTACTACATCCTTTGAACCTAAAATTTTTTGTACATGTACAGCGTCAAAAGATGAAGCATTTTTTGTACCTGCGAGCTGTCGTCCTTTGAAAAGAAGAATCACACTGCATTTTTTGCTTTAGAAAGCATAGAAAACCATATTGTTAGAAAAAACTGTCTTATCATCGAATTTTCTAGCACTTGTTTAACTCGCTCATAAGTAAAATTTGAAGCCATTTGAGAACTGCGAGCAGACAAAGAAAACTTCATTGCCGTAAATACGTCTTTGTAAAAATTCTGACGGCTGCATGAGTAAGTCGCTATGCAAACGAACTGTCATCTTCCGATCAGAAGTTTTCACGCTTCAGAAATCGAGTTTTGTCTCATAGAAGAGCGATTACACCTCGGTAGGGTGAGGCTCGTTTATTAATATCAGCAATAACGCAATGCTGTCTTTTTACCGTATATATTGGAAAGGTTAAGCGGATCCTAGAACTTTCTTTCGAGTCAACTGAAAAAGCAGTTTTTCTAACACTATGATTTTTTATGCTTTTTGAAGCGAAAAATGCAGTAAGAATCTTTTTTTAAAAGGCAGTAGCTCTCAGGTACAAGAAATGGTTCATTTTTTGATGCTGTACATGAAAAAAGAATTTTAGGTTCAAAGAGTGTAGTATTGATCGAAAATGGAATGTGGCTTTAAAATTTGACCAGCCCTCGGAACGCGTTTGTTCGAATTTATCAATTTTTCTACGGCCAAAATCAATGAGATTGGGAGCCGCTTTGTTCAATCGTTAGTTTGCACACAGATTAGTGGTTTTTCAGACAATTTTAAGCAGAAGATAGCAAGCTGCAGTGATTTATAAGTGGGTTTAAAGCTGTGGCCAACACTGTGGATTGTTAGCGGAAAGTCCTTGAAGGCAGTGCCCAAGTAGAAAGTCGATTTCGATTTTGAGATTTTGTGCTTATCCGGGCCTATTCGTCATGCTAAATTCGATGAACCACAATGGGGAGCGCGAAAACGCCAAAAAATAGCCCTAACGCAGGAATCGCAAGTGGGCGGGGCCGTTCACACCGTGACGTCACTCTCCCAGGCTTTAGGAGCGATCTTCTTGGTTCCGAATTTATGTCATGCGTTTCGCAGTTTGCTGGTGATAATGTTAGGGCGACTAGCGGAAGCGAGAAGATCGCTCCTGAAACTGGGAGAGTGACTCCACTATGTGAACAGCCCCGCCTACCTGCAATTTCCCTCCTCCGTTAGAGCCTTTTTCGCGGTTTTCGCGCTTTCTAATGTTGATTTTCGGAATCAGCATAGCGAATAGGCCCAGGCAAGCAGAAAATCTCGGAATCGACTTTTTGCTTGGACACTGCCTTCAACGCGATTAAAAAGGTAATTTAATATCTAAAAAACGCAACAAATTTTTTTGAGCTTTTAGAATACATGGAAGGATTCTTTTGAAACGTGAAGCAGAGAATTGTGCATATACGAGCGAAAAAATGCGAAAAATGGAATGGCGACTATCAACGCATGAGTCAATTTCATTAGTCTCCACATAGAAAACTCATATAATTGACTCAAGCCTTCTAACCGAAAGAATTTATCTCGCCAGTCCATAAATATGTTTCTGTTTGTCAGTTTCTGCTTCCTCTTTCTTGCTGCTTGCTTATTTTCGTTCTTGCATTCCTAATCATCAACATTTTTATTCTTGTTTTCACCAAGATCTTATCGTTCAAGAAAGTTTAACTGATTAGTAAGGAGTTTTCAAAGTCTTCAATTGTTGAATGACCTATCTAGCCGCGTTAGGGACTTCGCGCTACAATATAGATGTTGGGATGGGAAAGCAGTAGCAATCAGAGGGAATTGCAAAGCAGTAGCAATCAGAGGGAATTGAACTTGAAACAGAAGTCGAGGCGTCCTTCTATGAGTCTGCACACTTACCACTACGCTATGCATTCAGCACGGTCCGATATGGTGCACGCGTATTTATGATGGGCGGCGAAATCGAGGGGCACAATTTCGTATAGGAGACCGATAAGCGGATAGCGAAAGCGGTTATGTAACCAACTCTCCATGTAGTGTTCAATTATATACGACTTGCTGGGATTGCGCACTTTGAATTTTGACTATTTACTTGTTTGCATAATTCCCTAATAGCCAAGAAAATGGCCAATGCACAGAGACTGAGATTATCGAAGAAAGTTTATATTGAAAGAAGTCATAGCGTTTCAAGTTTTTTAATTAATTGCACAGAACTCATGCGGCAATCTAATACTTCAAAAACTTAAGTGATCAGGTTTAGTGATAAAGTTCTGCTGTTGTGAGCAAATTCTTAGTAAAGAAAGTCTTACACAAATTTTGTAATTTTCTCTTGATACTCCTCGAAATCTTTGGGCAGTTCTCCGTTGTGCCTAAGAGTTGTTTCGATGAATTCTGTAATAGGCATTGCTTTTGCATTAAACTAACAAGACAAGCTCTTACCGTAAATCTGCTTTCGGTTAACGGTTTCTGAGTTAACGAGAAAGAGCTTGCGAGGTTGTAGCGTACGAGTCCATAAATTTTTCCAAGATTCCACAGAAAACGCCGGAAATCTTGGCATCTATGGAAAACTAGTACTCAGGAAGGTCTCACCTGCACAAGAAGCATGGTCATTAAGTTTGCGAAAAATTCTTCTGGAGTCTTTGGTCCTGTTCGTCTCAGGCTATTGTGGATTTCCTTGAGGTCAACTGTCCTTTTCTCTTTTCCTTCCTTTTTCTCTCCAATAAATTGTGTCAAATTTTCGTTATTTATTTCACAATCATCACGGCCAAACCACCCATGCACGTGTTCGTTTTGTCTTGGTGGTTTTGGTGAATGTAGTGTGTCAACCTGTATAGTATAAAGAACAGCGATGAAGATTTTTTTAAGTTTTAGATACTACCGTGTACGTGTAGCACTACCGTGTTCGCGTACCTGATTTCCCATTATAATGGCAATGACGCGAATGAGGCGGACAACATCCTCTTGCACCGAAAGCTCGCAATCCTCGTGGTCTTTCAAAGGATGCAGATTTGCCATCGCCTCATTAATGCGATGAATGTCAATTGGTTGATTTTCTACTATTCCTAAGGATTTGTTAGCCCTGTTCTGAACGTCTATCGTGTAGCTGCACTTGATGCACTGAAACACAAAAACATGGACACGCCTGCAACCCACTTTTCATGTTAGATTATGTAGTACCAAAATTACTTTTGTTTGTATTCTCTGCTCAATTGAGTATTGATTTGTTCGAGGCAGTTACGAGAAAAATCACAGCATTTTTTCTCTTTTTCTCAAACTCCTCATTGCTCCAAATTTCACTTAGTAAACATCATGCACTCTCTTTCTATATAATTGTCAGAGTGTAAAACGTATAGCAGCTAATGAGCGTACTGCTGTGTAAATACTCAGATAATCGCCGGGGACAGGCGGCCATGCGAATTTTGAGCAAGCGCGCACCGGAAAAATAGTTCGCTGATTTCTTGCGGTCCGCTTGCAGAAATCTGGAATAATTCTAGCGAAATTTTAGACGAATGCTTGGAGAACAATCGCGGTTTTCTTATAGATTAGCTGCGGCGCAGTGGCCGCATTCTCGCGGACTTTCCGCGAGAATATGCAAAAATTTCGGGGCCGCACGGTCCTTTGTGGAGGACCGCGCAATCTCCAGATACTTTCCGCTGAGAGAAAGTACCTCAAATTTGATTAATTAAACCAACGGTGACACCTCTGCTACCTCGAGTCTTACCTGTGCTCGACGTACGCCCGAAAATGCGTAAAAAGAGTCCGAGCGCTTGCTGAAAGTTTGGCCAGCGCTCGCTGAAAAAAATTATTTGCCAAGTTATTTGCCAATTTTTTGCCTTGCAAAAAATGCTGTATTGCTGCCCGCTGGTAGAATATGCGACCGTAAAGGAATTGCCGCCCGCTGAAGGTTTAGCCACGCTCCAAAATTCTGCTGACCGCCTGCAGAAAAGCGAGAGTTTGCGGACCGCCTGCCCCCGGCGATTATCTGAGTAATTGTTCAGCTCTTCTCTAGTTTAAAAGTGGTAAGTGAAGTACTGTTTCTAACCTAAGAAAACATCTATACTCTTCACAAGGCATAAGACCGGGAAAAGCTCAGCAAAAGAAGAAACCAGTCCTCACTTAGAGCACCTATCCATAAGTATTCTTGAAAAGCGAAATTAACGGGTTTATCGGAACAACCCACTAAATTTTGTGGAATAACCTACGTTGAAAATTTGGTTGAATGATTCAGCCATCGCTAGTTACTTGCAGAGTTCTCTCGCTTCGGCTGTCCAGAAATAATTCTGAAACAGAAACCGTGAAGTCATACGAGTCTTATATAGGTGAATCAACACTGAGTCGACTCTCTTACTTGGAGTGAAGCTTTAAGATAACGGTTTCGATTAGTGTACGTAACAAGTGTGAAGCACACCGTGTCAGGGGCAGCAATACAAGTTCCAAGTTAAGTATAGAATCGAGGTTTCCTCAGGAATGTTAGACAAAAACTTAATAGAATAAATGACTCCTTGGAATGAAGAAGATACTTTCCCAGCCTAGCCTATTCCACATTTGCAAACGAATATCATTGTCAATTAGACGGATTCTACACCTGAGACGTACTTTTGGTTTCGTAAAACCGCGCATTTGTTGTTTAGAGCATAATTTGCTCGTTCGGTGGTCGGTCAGTGGTTGAACACATTTACGAAAGCAACAACATGGTTGAGTTAAACTTCTATTAGATTTCGGGAGACAGGGGCACAGAGAAATAAATAAAAGTAGAAAGGCCTGAAAAAATCACTTGCACTTGCTTTTCCCTTGTCTCTTATTTTTAACTCATCTTTACTGCTAGGAAATGTCCCTCAAATATGGAAGGGAACTCTAAAAAGGCTATACCAAAGCGTGAGTATACCAACTGCCTTTAAAATTACCTTCCTTTTAGTATTATTGCACCTTTTGGTAAGATTCTTGAAAAATTCATGAAGGAAAAGCTTTCTGAATGGTTAGATAAACGTAAAATTATTCCTTCTGTTCAGTATGTTCCGTCCAGAAAAATCAACTACCGCTTTACTTTCTGATTCAATTTTTGATCGGGCAAATGCGTTAAACCGAGGAAAGTCGATTGATATACCCTATTTTCAGGTGTATAAGCCGCGGGGTGGTCCTAGCTTACATCGATCAGCCAGAACACATCAATGGGCTTCGCATCCAGAGGACCCTATGCCGTGCTGCGTATTGCTTGAAAGAATCGTGCAGCATAAGGATCGCTTCTCGAAACACAATAAGGCGGCTGAGCAGCCCGGGCGAAAATTTGAAAAAGTGCGGCTTATACACTTGAAAATAGGGTAGTATTTTTGGACCTCTCAAAAGCCTTTGACATAGTGAGTCATTTGAAATTACTTCCCAGACTAGCTGATTACGGAATGGATAAACATCTGTTAAACTGGCTCCCATCTTACCTTCAAAACAGAGGTGTGACAGTGCGGGTTGGAAGTAGCTTTTCTAAACCGCTTCCGCTGCAGTAGTGGTGTGTTGCAGGGAGGCATACTCTCTTCTCCTATTCCTCGCTTACACAGCAGAATTGCCAAGAATTTTGAAGACGTATCCAGATATACAAGCGCAGGTTTTTGCGGATGACATTAAAATCTATTTTTGCTAGGAAGAGGACAAACAAAATATGGCCTATGAAGCAACTTCTACTTTTATATAAAGATTGAATGTCTGGTCCAAAAAATGTGATCTACCTGTAAATGCACGCAAATTCAAAGTTATGCATCTTGGCAACTTTCATCCGCGCACTTACCTCTGTGATGGTGTGAAGCTGAAGCTCTGCAGTGTTACCAGAGACTTAGTAGTTTTCATTGATCACCAGCTCAACTTTACCACTCACTATGATTCAATTACAAAAAATCATTAACAGTTCTCTTTGCCATACTGCGAAGCGTTTATAGCAGAGACCCATTTCTCCTACTCCGCGTTTACAAGCCCTACTTTTACTAATTTAAAAAAATATGCTTCTCCATTTTGGAATCCCCATTTCAACAGGAACATTGAAAAATTGGAGAGGGTACAAAAAATATTTACCAGAATCGTTTATTACGGATGCTGCCCAAGGCCTGACTACCATTACTCATTAACCCCCATACAGATCAAGGCTCACGTCTTAGGGTTGCGAAGCCTAATGTATAGACGGGTTTTCAACGACTTAGTCTTTTGTTTTCGCATTCTGAGGCCTGAAATGAGGCTAAGGCTTAATATTAGGTTGTCCCGAAAGTTTCGTCGGTTTCTTTCATCGCTCACTAAAACTCACAGAACGGCAATCCATAGACGGCTTGGGTACCACTTGATTCAGATTTCTATTCTCTTTCTTACAGTTATACTTGCTCTTCGATCTACCGTGTCTTTGCAATGTTATCGCCATGGCTTTTTGAGCAGCTCAGCAGTAACGCCAAATTTTTCCTGAATTTTAGAATTTTTTATTCTGATGTTTCCAAAGAACGCTGATAAACGTTATGTAGAGCAAACCTTCGGCTACACTGTATCTATTTTAGATTACATGAGCCGCGTTTACCAAGTCCGTTATAATTATTTATTTGGTAAAAACCGCGGCTTTTGATTAAGTTTAACAAGTAAAAGTATCAAAAATTCCAAAATGTTGCTTTTTCAAAGCGAGTCAAAGTTGGTCATGTTACATAAATAACGTTTAGTAAGAATCAAGTTTCAATAAGCAAAAACTTCGAGGGCTTTTGTGTATTTGATGCAGTTGCGTGTTTCATGACTTTGCCAAAACTCGAGGCCTCCGGAGAAATAATTTTTTGAAGCTAAATACAGCAGATTAAGAGAATCTAAAAATGTAGCCTTGTAGTCCGAGAATTGCTCTATCAGAATCATGCTTGATCATTTTGGAAACTATAGAATCAATTTTTTAAAAATTAGCCCATCTTTGACAAGATAAGATTGGCGGATGGAAAATTTTACAATTATCAAAAAAAAGCAGATAAGATTGTGGCTTGTGAATATATCCATAAGAAAGAGAAGAAAAAGCTGCATCGAATGCATGTTGAAACTCCCTCAGTTCTTTATTTTGCGTGGATTTACAGTGGTTTGAAAAAAACCGACAAAACTTTCGGGACAACCTAATAATTACTGGGTATTCAGACCTTGTGGAACACGAACAGGAGCTTTTGGGTTATGATATCGGAAAGACAAAAAAATTTCCCTCGCTTTCAATTCGTTTGTTCGTCGAATTGCTAGATGGATCAAGCTAATACTAAAAGAATTATTGCTTGCAAATACCTCAGCTAAATTCCGCAAAAAATCAGTCTCTATTGATGTTTTAGAAACTTTGGGTTTCTGACGTCAGTAGATGCCGTACTCCATCATTTTTGATTTGATTTGATTTTCGCAGCTTTGAAATTATTGATACGCCTTCTTGTGCGTACTGTTTTTTGTAACTTTTTAGAATTTTTTTTGCTTTTCTCTGTATCTTATTATCAGCAGCGCAGTAGCCGTCTCTTCGTATGGATTAGCCATTCGAGAAGCTCCGGAGTTGGCGCTCGCTTCCTTGACCCCTTCCATTCGCCCAGGATCTCTGACGGATTCGTCCGTCATGGTTAAGTTGGTTCAAGCCCTGGTAGTTCCGTCCAATATTCGCGTTTGAGTCAAAGAAAAGGACTGCGGCAGCGGATTTTTCACCTACTGAAGAATGAAAACGACCTGAAGACTCCAGCAAAGGACTTGACTTTTATTCAATGATCTGGTTTTCTTTTGGTGCACCTTTGTGTGTGAATGAATAAATAAATAAAAATAAATAAAAATTCAAAAGCCTGGCAATGCTCAGGCAAGAAAAAACAGCTTGTGAAAGCAAGTTCAGATAGTCTATAGCATTTACGAATTTGTCTAAAATCGAAAGTAAAAAGAACGCAGCTAAATTTTGGAGCACTGTCAGTAAACTGTAGTTGTAAAATTAGGTATTTACTGCCGTTTTTCGAACTCACGTGAATGGCAATTGGCTTGTCGTGGTACGTTTCTCGTCTGACGCTTGGATTAGTCCTTCTTCTCACTTTTATGGACCAGGGAATAGACAATGATAGAATGATTCTCATTTGAAAATAATGGTTCCGGTTGATGCTAGCAGAGAGTGAAAAAGCAAACTGCCAAATAATTCCGCAGAGCGTGAAACGACTAAACACCAGTACCTCATGCCTCACCTTGTTTATCTCTATCTCATCTTTATCTTTTTTTTTACATTCAAGGTGTACCATTTGAACTATGTAATACCGTTAGTATGGAGCCAGTCCTAGACGTTCAAGGAACAAAAAGAGAATGCTCATACTTCGATGACGTATGAGCAAATGAACTACTAATACGGGAAAAGGTACCCAACAAACGAAGAAGATACGACCAAATGCGATTATTCGGATGCCGGATAATAGCAGTGGGGACTGCTATCGCTCAAGGATAATCGGAGCAGTTTAAGGGATGGTATTGGTTTAGCTAAGTATCTACCAACCTAACTCCTCAAGACTTGAGCAGACCTGACAATTTTCAAGTAGAAACATTCTTAATCTAAAAAAAAGTTCTCAATCCAGAAAGTCAATCTAGAGTAGGACGATTTGCACCCGTGAAAAAAGATTAGTAACAAAGAAAAAACGCAAAACGATAGCAAAGCATCGCCTTAGCCCTTCACGATTAACAAAAACTGCTGTTTCCAATCGACACTACCAAGCCAAAGCACCTAACGATAGATTCCAACAACAAAACGAGAACACGGCCTTTTCCGCGTCTTCTCATCTTGTAATCTGGGCATATTGTATCGAATATGTGTAGTGCTGTTCTGCCAACCAGGTTGTTATGGTGGACCTTTATTGGCCTTACGTTTCGACAAATATCGTCTTCTTCGGAGGTCTAAAAGGGGACTGACTGACTGGGTCCGCCATAATAGCCTGGTTGGCAGAACAGCACTACACATATTCGAAAACACGGCCATTAGGAAACGACAGCAACGAAACAATCAGTGATGTTTAAGTGACAAGTAGTTGGGATATTCAATGATGTCATTTCTACCAATCCTGAAAAGATTTCATTTGATTTTTTTTCTAAGCTCTCGCTGAAAAAAGTGCTATTAGCACAAATAATTTCATGCTAAACTTTGATCGTTCTTGACATACGAATAAAGAACTCGTGATCAAGCAAAAACGGTAATGTTTTCGCCCATCGTTTGGATAAGGTAAATCGGAAATGTGTTAGTCCTCCCATG